TAAAAGCTCAAAAATTAATTAATATTTATCAGGTATTTTGTAAAAAAAAGAGTATATTATATAGGAAATACTTAATATAAAAGTTATAATTTTGGTTCAGATTATACTAGTTTTGATCTGAATAATATTAATTTTAGGAATTATATTATAATATTATTTTTTCTAATTATAAATTTTTATAATAATTAATAATTATATAATATGAAAAATCTAAATTTTACAATAAAAATAATATATTTAAAAACTTTTAATACTTTATAAAAATAAAATTTAAAAAAATTAAACTAGTAGCATTATTTTTTAAAATAAGTTTTAAATTATTACAATTAAATTCTTTTATATTTATTATTTTTAAAAAAGCAAAATTATAACTCTAATAAATTAACTTTCAAGTCTCTTGAGCTAAAATTTTATATGTAATTTAATAATATAAATTTAAATTCTATTAATTAAATCATATGTATACAAGTCATATGCGAGCTAATGAGCTAAGATTTTTGGAGCCCCAAGCAAAATTTAGTAATTATAGAGAAATATAATTAGAAAGAAATTTTTTTACTATATTTATATATAAATGGAAAAGCAAACTAAAATAACTATACAGATATGTGACTATAAATAGATATAATTATAAAGAGATTTGATTGTATTTAAAAAATTAAATATTTAAAGTTGATCGATCAAATCACATAAATATTTATCACATGAACATGATTTTATTGATTGATATTTATTATACAAAGAACGTGACATTAGTTCATCAACAGAAAATTTAAACATAATCACATGTAATAAAATACCATTATTTTATTGGTTGATTAAAGAAGCGTGATCACTGGATCGCCGAAACAAAATCACGTGATTGCTAAATTTAGCTTTCCAGCACCATATTTTGTAATTTTGGTCTTATTAGTTTGCCTCAATAAGACGAACATTTTTTTTGGCAGTAATTTCATTTTTAATTAGAATAATATTTATCGAATTATTGCGGATTTTAGTTTTTTTTTTAGTTGAAACTACATGTATAACTGTGCTACTCTCTAGATTTGCGAACGGGGGTAATATCAAATAACTAAAAGTCAAACACTAGTGCCAAGCAAATTGTATCGATGACAGTCACATTTACGTTCACCTCCCCAAAAGTATTTGCACTTTATATAAATATCAATATTGAATTGAGATTTATAACCATTTCCAAATTTAGGGGACCGATAGCGAAATTTCGTTACATCGATATCGCTAAAATGCTAACTAAATCAAGAGATTTTTTATAGAAGCAAATATATAATAATAGTGCTAGATTTCTAGCAAGATAATAACTATTTAAAAAATAAAAAAGTGATGAATCTAATAGGAGCACATCACGGCAAGTCATTTTCCCGATTGTAGGTTTTTAAAATTTTAAAAACTTTTTTCTCGATAACCAGTGATCAGATTTTTGTGATTTTTATTTTGGTTTATTATATTCGCCTCAATAAGACGAACATTTTGGTAGTAAGTTCATTTTAATCAGAATCATATTTATCAAATTATTGTGATTTTAATTAAAAACGTTCAAATTACAAAATTTTAGAACATTAAATTATATTCGAACCTGCATTGACACGGAAAGAGAGCACACCAAGTACTGATATAATATCCTACCCTCCCGATCATAGTAGTGCTTTTTTGTATAAGACCCACCGGGTACTATAAATAGAATAACAACAAATTATGAATTCGAAAAATGTAAAGTACCCTCACCCAAATTAAAACAATGTGATACATCATTTTATTTTGAATAATATTATCGCTATCTAATTATCAAATTATTTTCATATTCTAGTTGATCCATTTCATATACGTTTCAAATTACGCACATTTTGATTATACCAATTGACGATATTAGCTATTTATAATTTGTGTTCCCCTCTTTGATTACACATGTAATATCCTTTCCTAACCATAGTATCCCTCTGTGTAAAATACCCCCATTGAACGCAAAAAATTGGGTATTTTAGCCCACGAAATACGGTACTCAGAGACACTTTCAATATATATTTTTATTATACATTTAAATAAAATATAATAAAAAAAACTGACCGCCATTATTTAATTCAGTACATGCTCAACTAAATAAACTGAGGCATAAATAAAGATTATATAATTTAGTAGCGGTAGAATTTTAAACATTAAAAAACGACCAAAAATCATGTCAATCCAAAAAGCATGATTTTTGATTTGAATGGTATGTGCTAGGTTTAAAGTTAAGATTTATCACATGATCAAAGGTTAAAAATTAGTGTAAGGTTTAGGGTTAACGTTAGAGTTGGTGACTACATGTATATGTAAAATTAAAAATTTGTGCACTCTTATTGGTTTGTGTTACCCGAGTTGATCAATAATTTGTGTATCCTTATTGGTTTATGCAATATTATGTGATCAATTTCATCCAATTAACGATGGATTTACCTGTGTCCAATCAAAACTTGAGGAAGAAATTACATGTATTATGGTGCATGGGTGCATAACATCTAAATTCATCAAACGTTTGAAATTTAATCTGTGGATATACTCAGTAAGGGACTATTCTATCATATTCACGGATTAAATTTTCTATTGCTTCTTAGTTGAGAAGTTATACATTTTATAAAATACAAATGTTTGATGACTTTAGATGTTATTAACAACTGCAAAATTAACCAATCACATATCCAGAATCTCAGATCCTAATTAGCAAATTAAAATGTGATTATTAAACAGTTGTTACAAATACATGTCATTTAATCATTACGATTGCTAAAAATAAAAACTATTATTGTTCTTTATTCACAAACTACAATTACGTATTGATAAGGGCTAATTTGACACATAACTGATCTCGCTTGACAATACGTACATGTACATAATGTGTATCAAAACATTACCCATATATAGCAATTGATCGTTAATTAATAAAATGGTATATCGGTTTTTTAATTAAGAGTCAAATTAGTTCATATTGATGTCGATATGTTACGATCGCAAATCCCTGAATTTTAATTATTTCATTCATTCATTCATTATCGTTGTGATCCGTCAATGTACGTAAAAAAGCAGCTGATTTTCAATAGAAAAAGCGAGAATGTGAGAATATAATTCTCCATTGATGCCTAAATTAGATAACTAAACGCGCGCTCTTTTCCTATAAATGTTTTAAAGGCACACGCGGTAAATTGATTTCTCACAATTCATTTGTTTGCTGCGATTTATCTATGAAAATCGAGAAAGTATAGGCGTATTGTCCGGTTTCGGAAAAAGATGTGTGAAATGAATTCAAAATTAACTTTGTGTTTATCCATTTATGAGAAAAGAAGGCTTGTGCGTGAATTTCATGATTCCTTGCATTAGTTTGATATTATTTACAATGCTTATCTAGTAACTAATCGATTGTATCACCAGCATTGGCCCCAAAAATTATCCCCAAAAAAAGGTTTGTTTATGAAAAAAAGTTAAAGAACTGTTTACTTGTCATAGAAAAATAGTTCAATAAACAGGAAGACCCAAAAACACAACATGGGAGAGAAAATATCAATAATCACATTCGTTATCAGTGTATCGTATTTATTTTGGCATATATCAATCAATATCAATAAATATATCAAAGAGTAAAAAAAATGTATAAAAGAAAACGAGATGCCCTAATTTTTTTGAATATACATCGTTTTTGTTAAAAAATTAAGACGAAGCCATATATACGAAATTCAAAATTTTGATCATATAAAAAGTTTGGAAAAAATCGAAATACGCGCATAAATCATGTCACATAACCCATATTCCATCGATTCAGTTCCTGCTCCTGAAGGAATTCCCTTTCCAGAATATTATCCATTATTCATGGACTGGCGATTTCCTATCTCGGTTGCTGCCATTTACACACTTTCAATCCTAATTCTGAATCCTAAATCATCAAAAGTATCGCGTGTAGTGGCACAATCTAAAGGCATTAAACAGAGCGGAAAGAGTTCAAAAGATAGTTCAGCGATGACAGCATTTATATTCGTACATAACTTGTTGTTGTGTGTTTATTCGTTTAGCACGTTTCTTGGAGCGGGTTCGGCTCAATTAAGGAACTTTTTGACACATTCGAATTTTACTGATGCTGTAAGAAATCTTATTAAATTGAGTTTATTGTATTAAAAAGATTTTTTTTGACTTTGCTTTCTTATTTAAAAGTATTGCGATCGAGATGGCTCATTCTGGAATAATGCTCTTGGATATTGGGGATATTTATTCTACTTATCAAAATGTAAATTCAAACTATAAACTTCCCTATTTTTATTCAATTATATGCTTGAAATTTAACACGATTATAATTTTCACTAGATTACGAAATAGTTGATACAATAATTATTTTACTCAAAGGACGTCGTTCTTCTTTACTACAAACGTACCATCACGCCGGCGCAATCATAACAATGTGGTCAGGCATCAACTACGGCGCAACAGCGGTCTGGATCTTTGTGATTTTCAATTCTTTTATCCACACTATAATGTACGCATATTACGCAGCAACCTCAATTGGACTGCACCCTCCCGGCAAACAATATCTCACCACAATGCAAATTTCCCAATTCCTAATTGGCACCTCACTGGCAATATCATACTTGTTTGTTGACGGATGTCATGCATCCGCCGGTGCAAGAATGGCTACCTGGATTAATGTTAGTTATTTGTTCCCGTTGATTTATCTTTTTGTTGATTTTGCAAAGAAAACGTATGGTAAGCCATCGGCTAATGGAAACGGTCCCTTGAAAAAGACGCGCTAACACTATGGTCATTACCGTTACATAAAGATTAATCTAGAGTATTTTAAAAACATGCTCTTCATACATTATACATAATAGACAATTATCGTAATAATAAACTTTTTCACCTGAATATATTTTTGATTTTTGATTATTCTAGTTAAATAAACAAAATTTTAGTATAACGATAAAGACAAAAATAAACATCTACGTAATTTGTTGAATAAAAGATGCACGTGATTTTGCTTTATATTTCACAGTGAATATATAGAATAAAAATTAATAAGCCAATAGGAGTCACTAATTTCTGCCTCAGTCGCCACATTTTATTAACAATGTTACAATAATATCGATATTCGCATTCATTTATAGTAGTTATTAAATAAGTGTTATTTATTACGTATAAGAAAAAACTATTATTTATTTTTCAATCAATTTAATAAAGTTCAGATTTTTCACTAATATTTTACGGGAAAAAATTATATACAGCTCTAAATTTTCAGGTTCTTCTTCTGGATCAGATCAAATAAGCACTTGTAGAAAAATGTTTTGGTTTTGATTTTTTCTTTATTAGACTTTGTATCTTATTGTTGAACTTGTTTGTTTCAAAAATAAGTGTATTTGATCTGATACAATAAAATATTCTTTATATAAGATAGTATTTTAAAATAAATAATTTTCTGGCAAAATTATATGCAATTTGTGTTGTTCAAGTTAAGATCAATTATTTTTTGAAAATTTTGTTGTAAAATTTGTTATATTATTTATGAATATGTTATAACTTTATAAAGACAAATCCAATTTCAAAAAATTAAAAATTATATAATATTTTCTTCTGTTGGTGAAAAGCAAAAAAAAGCAATTTAAAAAAAATTTAATGATTATTTTATATTTTGAATTTTGAATTTGATTGTATTTTTAAAATAATAATTAATAGATTTTTAATAGATTAATAATTTTTATTTATTTAAATATAAAAAAGAAATATAATATGAAAAGTTTAAAAATAAAAAGATTTGATAAATAATGAAATAATTTGAAATTTACAAAAAAACATCAAAATATTATAAGTTTGTTTACTAATTAAAAAATTAATCTACAAATATAAACAAAAATTAGAAAAAAAATTAGATAAAAGAACAAAATAATAACAAAAGAGAAATATATTGATTTTTTACTAAAATTATTATAATTTAAAAAGAAATATAAAAATATGTAAAAGAGTTATAGAAAAGTAAATTAAAAAAATATTGTAATAAATAAAGAGAAATACTAAGATAAATAATATTTTAAGCTATTAAAATATAATTATTAATAACAAAATAACAAAATTCTTTTACTTTATGTTTTTATAAAAAAGAAATATTAAATTTTTAGTAAACAAATAATTAGTTATAACAAAATATTGTTGTATAATGAACTTTAATCAAATATTTTACTGAATTATTCATACTAAATATTATTAGATTATAAATATTTTATATCTTATTAAAAGAATTTAAACATGTGAAATGAGCAAACAAACAAGTGAGTGAATAAACAAATAAATAATAATCGTGACGTAGGTGTTCGATCAACATCTGATAATGGTAATTTTATGGTTATTCGATCTCGTTATAGTTGATATACTTCGGGATCACCACGCAATGCGTTTTCTTTTATTTTATAGATAGGCTCTCACTATTACTAATAGATATTATGTCTACTTAGTATGGGACAATCCTATAGTAATACAGTACTAATATTCTATAGCAACTTTGACGGTTGTTCAATAGTGCACAATAAATGCAAGTATTTTAATAAGTTATTATTTAATCAATTAAGTGTACAAATTTCATTAACAATAAACAAGGAACAGTTTATTAACTAGCTAAATTTTTGTATTAATCAATTGATGCCTTTTGATTTATCCAAAAGATCCTTTATTTATATAAAATAATTTATGACTAAGTTATTACAATATGGAATATGTTATACATATCAGATAAATATGATATAGCGAATAATGTTGATATGACTGAGAACTTTACTATCTTTGCTATCTCTGCTATCTCTACAATCTATATTTAGTTACATGATTAGAACTAAGAAATTAAGGAATTAAGGATAATTCCAGGCTGTAACAACATGTATAAAAACAATATATATTATAATTATTAGAATTAGATTAGAACAAGTTCTTCTATAATAATATTCTTAATTATCATCTTATAGCTAGTTATCACATAGTTTTAATTATTCAAATAAGCAAAGTTTGCACTTTATGTAGAATAGATAATCAAGTACAAACTCCTTTCTATATTTCTTTAACAAAATATTCTTGTTTCTTATATAATCACTTCAGTATTATTGTCATAAGTATTATATAAATAGTAGCTTAAGTACATTTGTCAAGAGTGCTATAAAAACTATTATCTTAATATTAGATTATCTAAACACATTTGTGACAAAACCTATTGAACATTATATTAAATAAGAAATTATTATTATAATTCATAAATCTATTTTTGAGATTGTATTGCTGATAATATATTGCTTATAAATTTATCTTTAATTTTGTATTGCTGATAATACATTATCCATCTTCAATTTTGTATTGCTAATAATATGAATATTATAATTTCCATAACTTTGACTCTGAGATTTTGAAGACTCTTTTTAATAATCCAGATTATTGCATTAAAAGAACACAACTGTTATCAATCTTTAAGTGATTTTGTTACTAGTATTTTTTATACTTATTCACATTCAGTCTAATAGTTATAAAGTATTATTATTACTTTAAATTGTTATTAAGATATTGAAAGTTTTTCTTTGAATATATCTTTAATATTTATAAATATCTTTGAGTATTAATAATAAAAGTTTAGTGCTCCCTCTGTGAATCAAAATCTCAAAAGCATTATTTTAAAAGTACTATTAAAACAATTATTGAATTTCTTATGTGATTTAAATTTCAGAACATTATAAAATTTCATTATAAAAGAATAATTATTAATAAAAGAATTCTCTGTGATTACATTTTAAAAAAATATTAAGTAAAATATTTAAGTGATATAAAAGAATTTTTGATCAAATATTTATCAAAAGTATTCTTTGTGAATGAACAAAGCTATTAACTATATTTTCTCAACTTTTTAATACAATTAACTAATATTAAAATAAATTATATATTTCAAAAATTACAAAAAGAAATTAAATTAAAAGTGAATCTCAGTAGAAAATAATTAAAATCAGTTAGCAAAAATCTTTAATAAAATCTACGTGAGAAATTTAACTACTGAATCAGTAAAATAACTTATTTAATTATTGAGAAAATATTTTCAATATAGTAAATTAGTAATATAAAAATATATATAATTTTTAATAAGAAGTTATAAATTTTATCATATTAAAAAAAGCTCATCATCAACAACAAAAACTTAAAGAACAATTAGCAGAATTATAAAATTAAATTATAATTAAAAATGATTCATATTTATTAACTTCAAAAGAAAATTTTGAAGAAAATCCAGAAGATCAAGTAATTCAAATAACAGAAAAGATAGTGAAAAAGAACCTGAGTTAATTATAAATAATACACAATTTAATCAGATTATGATTGGGTTAACCAATTTGACAAATACTATTCAAGCACAAACTAATACTGCTTTACCAGCAAAAGAAGTATTCTTTACAAAAATTATTGATTTCTATAAAGATATTCAAGATTCTATTAGATAGTTTTATAAAAAAAATTTTTAAATATATCAGGCAAAAATTCAGTTTTTGTATTGATCCATTTTTTATCCAGAAAATATTCCAAATAAAAAATGGATTAATACAAAAAATTTGATTTTATTTTAGCAAAAATCTGTTTTTATTGCCAGAGTAAAAATGATTTTTAAAAGATCTGACATACCTCTATTTTTTTACTAAATAAAAAACAGATCTATACAAAAAATCCAGTTTTACTTTAGTAAAAATTTATTTCTATTACCAGAGTAAAAACAGTTTTTAAAAGATCTGATATACTTTACTGGATAAAAATAAATCTATATAAAAATTCAGTTTTACTTTAGCAAAAATTCATTTTTAAAGATCTGACATAGTTTCATTTTTTATTTAGTAAAAAAATGAAATTATATTGAATCTTTACTGTTTTTACTCTAATAATAGAAACAGATTTTTACTTTTATTTATTAGTATATATTACATGATCTTTCTGATCTATTATGTAATTTCTATTTTTGATGATTGAAAAAAAAATTGATAAATCTAATTATAGTATTAATATTAATAATTTCAGAATGACCAAAATCACAGAAAATAAGTGGATCATAACCAAAAGCTACTGATATAGTAACTTACTATACCAGAGCTAACAATATTCATTCATTTTTATCTTTTATATATTTATATACAAAATAGTATTTTATTTTCTCATAAAATTCCTGTTCTTTTAAATCAATAGATACACTTTTGTTCTGGATATTTTTATTAATCAATAGTATTATCTAAAAAAAATAGAGTAATTATTAGCATTTGTCTGAAAAGAAAATTAACATATTACATACATACTGCTATTCAGTAATTAGCATGAGATATATATAAGAAATTATAAATATAACATCACAATATGTGAGAGGTTATAACAAAACTAAAATAAAACTTTAAAACTTAAATAATAAAATAATAAAGGAATATTTAACATTCTAAATGTGTTAATTTCAAAAGTGCATTATTACCAAAGGAGTTTATTTTTGAACCAAATATTTAGAACTTAACTAATTAACTAATTGACTTGTTAATTAATTAACTTATTAACTGAGTTATTAGATTATTGACTGATTTTTCTAAGCTAAAATACATGCTTCTTTTATATAAAATTGTTAAATCAAAACTACTAATGATATTTACAAGAAAA